ACTGCAGGAACCTTGCTATGAATGTTATGAAGATGGTGTACCTTCCTCTGACATTTTACTGTGATCCAGTCTTCATCCTCTTAAAAGTTGCTTGAGCCTTCCACTGACTACAAATAAATTGTGCCTTTTTTTGGCTTGCATGCCTAACCGGGCAATTCCTGCTTTGCCATGAAGAATGACAAGATGAAAGAGACAACGTGGCATGAATCGTGCCTTGGTCCAGCTGGGAAGAATGGAAGCCATCCCACAGAACAGGCTCTGGAATACACAAATAAAATAACAGGCCAAAGAGAAGAAATACATACATGAAAGCTGCCAAGACTGTGATGTAATGTCTCCGATTAGGTACATTCAGGTCTGTACCGGAAAAAATACTTGCCACAGAAACTGCAACGCACAGAGCATGTGCTCTCACAAACACACACTTGAGAGAGACTGCCGTGCTCCAGGACAGATACCTTCCCTGGCGCCCCCAGCTCTCCTGCCAGTGCCATGCACAGTCCATCCCAGCCACACAGGCTGCCATGCTGCACCCAGACTGGGAAACAAAATTTGAAAGCTCTGCAAGTTAAATACGTTTTTGCATGTACAGACAAATTGTCAAATTAGTGAGATGTAGAAAAGGGAATATAGGAGAAATGGAAAACGGGACAGCTGAAACCGTGAGCTGAGATCGTGAATCCCGGTGTGGCCCAGGGGCTGATAACGGCACCCTGGCAGATGGTGCTACAATTTCACACAGGTCAGTGGCTGTCCCGAGACCTGGCCAGCACAAACCCGGATATATTCATCCAGTGTCTCAGAGCTCCTGCTGCCTCTTGAGGCTGGAAAGAGTCCCCCCAAAGCCCAGAAGCTGGCCTGGCACCTCTGTCATCCTCTGTTTGCTGGGTTCATCACCATCATCTGGGGCACCAAGGCATCGGTGCCTACACTGTACCTGCTAGATCACACCAGTTTCTTGGCTTGCACTTAACCAGATCCCTTCACACGCATAAAATCAGTGTTCACCATTCACAACAGCTCTGTCCCTACACATAGTGATGGACTGTACATACAACAGGATGTTTTTTCCACTCATAAAATCTCTTTTTTAAAACTGACACGGTTTCAGCTGAACTGAGATACAATTTATTTCAGCTGACTTGGTAATTATTGAAGCATTCCATTTTAATTAGGATGATGGTTAACGAAATCTGCCATAAAATCATTTGTGGGTTTTAGTAAAAAAACTTACAAATATGTAACAGATAGAGAGAAATAAATAGGAACAGTATACAATGCACTGTTATTTTCTTTCACAGCTAATCAAGGGAAACCTATATATCTGTATGACTTGATGGTGACAGGATGACAGACTCATTTCTCCAATGAACCGTTTTCTTCTTATAAGGCAAAAAAAGCACTGCATCTGTATGAGATCATCTAGAAAAGTCCTCCTTCCTGAAAAATACTATATTCTTTTTTGTTGCCTAGCTACATGCTGCTGCTACCTTAGAAGGCTGTAGATTCATCTGAATGATTCTGGTGGTGCTGATGTGCTTGAGCAGAGGAGTAATGCAAATATATAACCCTTTCTTTGGTAAAGATTATGAAAGAAAGGGGTGAGTGTGAAAAGAGCAAGCCTTTGCAGAAAAGCAATTTACCTTATTCATCATATTCTTTCTGACATTCATTGTTGAATAAAGACCATTTCCCCCCACAGCCCTGGGTGCATGAGCAGGCAGTGAAATCACAGACTTGATGCTTTTGACGTGAGAGTCTGATGCCAAGGAAGCGTTTGCCTGGTTCATGTTAATTACTGCTGTGAGTAAGTGTAGAGAAGGGAAAAGACTGTCAAGGCCTGATTCTGATCTCACTTCCAAAACTGTAAACAGGGAAAAATGCCACGAAATGCAACCAATTTGCTGAATTTTGTTACCACCAGAGAATGGGATGATCGCCGAGTCCTTCTTTGAATATAAGTATCTTAGATGATTTGGAAAATTAAGAAAGTCCACTTAAAATGCCAAAGGCCCAAAGATTTACATTATAATGTGCCTGTCAAAGAAAACTCTGACAGGGAACTCTGCCCTCAAGCACAAGACATGCAGAGATTGAGAGCTGAGCAATAATTCCCTGGCACTTCCCCAACATGATCAGCAGCTCAGCATGCCACTGCCTCGCTGAATATTTCAGTACACTGGTATTCACTAGATGTGGGGAAGCTGCTTGTGGGAGGAATAAGATGAAGGGGGAAATCAAGTTATTTCTTACCTGCTTCACTGTAACTGGTTTGGGTGTAGAATGTCCTTCATATGCGTCAAGATTTTGCAGTTTTATCTTTAGGACTGAGAGACTTATAGCACTGGAGTTTTGATTCAGTTTTTTCTAGTTAGGGCTGGCTTTGAAATTAAGATCTGCAGTTGCTTTCATAAAATAATATTTTTCAAGTCTACTGTCTACAACCTTCTTCATATAAGGTACACACTTCATACCATTCTATTACCTCAGTCTATGCTTGTGCTTGCTCTCTGTGTTTTACCATATGATCCTGATGGTTTTATATTTTTTGGAGAGAAAGTGGTAGATAATGAAGCATATTATAATTATCATAATTATTATTACATTCTCAAGAATAAGATCAGAAAGAACTTTGACAATTTAAAGTGAAAATAAGAAAGATTATTTGATTCCAGTATAATTCTACAATAAGAATTTTGGAGTTCTTCATCAGAATATCTTGTATAGCAGCAGAGGTGAAGCAGGAAATGAGACATTAAAAAGAAACAGAGATGCCTATTACTGCTATGATGCAAATGTGGAATTTGCCAAACTCAGGGCATTCCAACTGGACAAATTCTGAGTTTCTCCTGGAACAGATGATAACATCTCTTACATCTGAGTTCCTACACACTTTACATGAACAATTCCATGACATCATTCACCACAGGAAAAGACACCATAAATTCTGCACTGGGTTATAAAGAAGTATAAACCCTTTCTAATTCAAATTCATAAGTCTCCCTTGTGACTGTGAGTTTTTGTCCCCGCTTCAAGCTTTCATTTGTTGAAATGAAAGGGAAATGGCGTTTTCCCCACAAGGGAAACAAGATCAGACTTTATCACCTAAAGCAAAAAGGCAGCTATGCTTTAATTCTGGTCACCACCATTCCCCACCAAGAGCCTTATTTAAGGTGCAGCAATTCTAAGCATTATAAATGCACATTTGGACACAAAACTAATGTTCTCTGTGTAGGAAAAGATAGATCAAAAAATCCTCATTCTTTTTTTGTTATCTAGTACACAGAAGAGGGCAGCACAGTTAAAGTTTCACTTTATATTGCCACAAACATTACAAATTGTGTTTCTGTCTTATGTCCTTCTCTCAGTGATGGATCTATGCGCCTCTGTGACTGGAAGTGTGCTGGTCATTTCCTCAGAGGACCACAGGTCTGCTCCTACTCATGGGGTTTCGCTGCAAGGAGACTTTTCCTTGCTCATCTGTCATATTCATGGAAACATCTACAATATGATGACTTTATCCAGATTTTCAGACCCCACATCCCAAGATCTTCCTTCCTTTGGTATCTCTGTAATGTGTTGAAACGTAAGCAACGCCTTGTCACCAGCACAATCTGCCGTGCTCCCAGCACCCTCACTGTAATCTCTTGCTACAGAGAAGTTTTCCCTTACAATTACACTTTCCTTCTGCAAGGTTCTGTGCTTTTTGCTGCAGTACTATGTGGAAGATGCCTGCTAACAGGCAACTTTTGAAGATATTGTCCTGCAGGCGTATGGAAGAAACGGACTCTGTGGGTTACCACGCGCAGCTTTAGGCTGTTTTCTACCCAATTTCCTGCCTATTAAATCCTTAGTTCCTCAATAAAAGAGAGTTACAGTAGGTCCATGAAAATGTTACTCAATGCTCAGTTGACAGTGTAAACAGATGCTAGGAATTCTCAGGATTAACAAAGCAAGCAGAAAGCATCACTGTCCACTGTGTCCATGGGCACATGCAGTTTGAGTAATCTGTGTTTCTAATCTGTGTGCTTCTTGTCGCCTAACTTCTAAAAAGATGTATTAGAAAAGACACAGAGAAGGGCAAGTAGGGATTGTGTTTATATAAGGCGTGTTTCAATACTCTAGGTTCCTCAGCCGAGAGAGGTAATTACTGAAGAAAGCTATAAAATCATTACGTGCATGAAGAAGACAGGAGGGAAATCTTATTCTCTGCTTCACAATACAGTAAATGGAGGTGTTGCAGGATATTGAAAATCTACATGGGTTAAAAAGCAATTCGAAAAATATGCATAAAAAACACATCATGGGCCTCTGAACAAAAGGAATTATTTTAGCCTGGTGGTTGTATGGGGGGAGTTTTAATTGTGTTTATCATGTTCTTATTGTCCATTCTTCTTTAGGTGCCTGCTACTGACAGCTGCCGAAAACTGGTTATAAGTTGAGTCTGACCCAGTACAGCTCCTTTAATTTGTTATTGTAAATAGATTCATTCCTCTTGCCAAGAGCTACTGCTGGTAAACAATAAATCTTACATTTGCAATTTGCTTCCTTACCACTGTGTACTTCTTAGTAAGACAGAGAGAGAGCCATTTACTTTGCCCACTCCTTAAACCAAGTGTCTGTTGCAATCCGCAAATTCAGAAACCTTTTCATGGTATCAGACTTCTAGATATTTCTTGTAAAGGGCCTCTGAAATCCACACTAAGGAGTATACATCCCACAGGAATTGTAACAGGATATTTAGCATTCCACTCATGGACGGATGATGTATGTCATGCACATTGGCCATGACAGTTTTAATACTGAAGAACAGGAATTAGAGGTGATACAAGAAAATAATTATGGAAATATCTTAGGTCATGTTCTGATTTTACTCCAAACTTGAAATGCAATAGGAGCAAACAGCTGATCACATATAGTACGTGCTAATGAGTCTGTTCCGCAGTGACTGAGGAAACTGAGGGGGTATCCAAACTTTGACTCTTGTAGCAGGATATAGCATGAGCGGTTACTGTGTCGGTAAGAAGTAAACCCGAATCTGAAAAACTAAAAATTAGTGCAAACTTGAAGTCAGACTGAGACAGAATGCTTTTCCCAACTGTATTCTAACAGGATAGTTTACTCATAGTGGAAAAGTTACTCATTCTGTGAAAAAAAGTGGGGGAACTGAACAGGCAAAAATGAAATTAGATATGCCACTTGTGCAACTTTTTTTCAGAGCAATGATTCACCTGGTTCAGTTGGTCATGAGGTTATCTAGTTGTAGAAGTTTTTGAGCTTACTCAAAGCAGTGAGAAATTCAGAGCAGCAGGAAGATGAACCACATTTTCAGTTATTCTTATCCCAAGTCATTTTTTGCACTCTCTTGCAAGAGTTTCAGAAAGACAGAGGTCTTTGCTTTATGTTACAAACAATGGACTTAAAATTTACCTATTTTATAATTTTCTACCTGAAAAACACAAACAGTAC